TGTAGGGAGAGTCTCTCTCTCTCTCTCTCTCTCTCTCTCTCTCTCTCTCTCTCTCTCTCTCTCTAATAAACCTTCAATTAAAAACTAGGTGGTCTAGCCAGGCATGTCCTTCCTATGGTTTTAAAATCAAAAGCATGGAGAAGGCCAGCCTCATCTGTATGTGAAGGATGGATGGGACAGGGACAGTAGCTACACATGAGGACACTACACCTCTGGACTGTGCACACAGATGACACTGCCTTTTACCAGCACTGAAGCCAGATACCTGGCCCTTCAATTAAAAACTAGGTGGTCTAGCCAGGCATGTCCTTCCTATGGTTTTAAAATCAAAAGCATGGAGAAGGCCAGCCTCATCTGTATGTGAAGGATGGATGGGACAGGGACAGTAGCTACACATGAGGACACTACACCTCTGGACTGTGCACACAGATGACACTGCCTTTTACCAGCACTGAAGCCAGATACCTGGCTGTTATGACTCTCTACCCACTCCTCTTCACATTCCAGGAATCACTAAGACCACCCTATATATCCTAGAGTTTGCTCGACTCCCTCCACTTCTCTTCGTCCTCAGTATCACAGTAAGAGCTGACCTTGCCTAAATAGGAGCAGCAGGTTGTCCTCCAGTCCAGCTTTTGGGGCATCACATGTCACACACAGCAGGAGGAATAGTTCTACAGTATCTTTCCTTTTATAGTCTAAAACTCATTTAGGACTGTACCTCGTTTTCCGGGTAAAGCAGGCATTCACTAATTGGTCATATTTGCCGCTGTGGCAGTACCTGATTGAATGACCAGTTTCCCACGTGGTATTTTGAAAGATTGCCAAGGGTCTTGTGCATTTGCTCCTTGGGCAACTTCCTGGAGTCAAAGGCTGGGGCTGTACTTAGAGTGTTTGGGAGAATGCAAGCATAAGTGAGGATATATACACCTCTCACTGTAGAGAAAGGGAGGAAAAGGAGACTATTTCCTTATCCATGTTCCACACCTAATGCAGCCTTAGGACAAGATTTAATACCACTTACTGCCCAAACTTTTGATGCAGCTGTGTTCAGACATTGATATG